CCAAATTTTATAATAATAAACCATCAATCTCTGCTCCTGGAGCAAGAAGTCTTACATAAACATAGTCAATGATTTCTTTTTGATTGAGAATGAGTTAAGAAATGTAACAATAACAAGTTTGTAGATAACTGGTAGTTTGTAAATAATTTAATTATTGTAGCAGTGAGTATCTTTGCTAGCCCTGGTTACATTCCCTTGTCCACCTGTGATCGTAGGCACCGTTGCATTGCATGGCACTTTGTGAGCCCAGACTTCTCTCTGAATGGCAGTGTCCTATCGTAAGCACACTATGTGTCTTTCAGCTTTTCCTCGCTGGGTTTTTTTCTGAAATGTGGCCTGAAATGAGCATTGCTGAGAAGTGTGTGGTATTAAGGATGAGGTATGTATTGCCCTTGGAGACAACCCTTAAGCAGTCATCTTCTCTTCTTCAGGTGGACAGTGTTGGAAGGTATTCATGCTTCCCAGAGTTCCCAGCAGAAGTGAGCCCTGACAGACACAAGCTCACTAATAAGCTCTTACACTTGTATTTTTTACTTCCCTGCCTCTCCTCACTCCTTCACATCTGATTACTCGGCTGACCTATTCATTAAACTGCATGTTCTCATATGCTTGTCTCAGGCCCTGCTTTCAGTGGGACCAAATTAAGATATTCACTTTCCACAGATACATTAAAAGGACCAAAATTAGGTGATTTTTAGGTTTAATTTTAAAAACAATTTTATGCTTAATTCTGTTGTTACGTTTATCATCACCACCATCATCTCTAACACTCATAGTAAAGTAAATGAAATGTGCAAACATATTTCAAGGTAATATGTGAAGAGTTTCATAAAAGTCTACAAATATAAGATTTAGATTTAGCAAAGTACCCTGTTTTTTGGAGGAAATTAAGGAGTGAAGAAATGACATTGGGGCATGATATTGAAGCTGGTGTCTAATTTTGACTGGAAGAGAAGAGGAAAAAAGAAAAAGAAAATAATTTGCCTAGTTAATTGCTCTATCTCTTGATTATGCATTTTCTCCTAGTATTTTAGAAAAAAAAAATAGGACAATTCTAGAAGGATATGTAGATACTCAGCATTTAAAGCTCATTAATCATAATACACTCATTTATAAAAATTGAACTCCTTCTAAGAGTGTGATGGTAAAATGTATATTATAGAATTTTCTCCCCTTGTGTTGTGGCTATGTTTTTTCACCTAATTCTTACCCAGATAAATTCCCAGATTAGCATCAAGATTTGGGCCTCTTTATGGTATTTGCTTCTCCTGATGTGATACTATGACAAGAATAGTTGAAGTTGAAATCCTTTCTCTACAGTGACTTATTATTGATCTAGTACAGTGGTCGGCAAACCGTGGCTCGTGAGCCACATGCGGCTCTTTGGCCCCTTGAGTGTGGCTCTTCCACAAAATACCACGTGCGGGCGCATGTACAGTGCGATTGAAACTTCGTGGCCCATACGCAGAAGTCGGTTTTCGGCCTGGATGAGTCTATTTTGAAGAAGTGACGTTAGAAGAAGTGGGGAGTGTCGGTAGGCCTGGCGACAGGAGACACAGCACAGGCAGGCGGAGGGATACGCAGTGGGGGAGGCGCGCAATTCATGCAGGAGTTGAGTGAGACTGACTACAAGACGAGTGTGGATGGGAGAGTTGGAAGGGGTCGACCTAGTACCTCAATCAGATTGAGGACGTTTTTAGCAAAGGCCAGCTTAGGAGAACCCTAATTAAGTTAATAACAATGTACCTAACTATAGAGTTTAAGTTTAAAATATTTGGCTCTCAAAAGAAATTTCAATCGTTGTACTGTTGATATTTGGCTCTGTTGACTAATGGGTTTGCCGACCACTGATTTTGGAAATGTGATCACATATGATTAAAATTTTATAAATTAACAAAGCTTCATTGTGATCTGCCTTCAGTGTCATCATAGTTTCCGAACCTCTGAAGGAAAGGTACTGCAGTATAAATGGTTAATTGTAACTGATATGCTTCAAAATCAATCTTTGTGGAAGTACGTAAGAGGTCTCAAGCACATTTTGTAATAGATTTAATACTGCATTTCTTTTGAACCCCCGACATGCCTTCTTATGATAAATAGCTACTTGAAAAAAGATAAGAGTTCCTATTCCCCTTAAAGTATGAGCCATACCAAAGTTTACTCAAATAAGTGAAGATAAAAATGTCATCGCACTTCTAAAATTTGCTGTCAATATTTCACACCTGTATGGAAAGCAGATAGATGCCTGAGCAGCAGCTTGATAACATTCCAAACTGCAGCCCCTAATTAACTCACCTTTGAAATATCAGCTAGTATCTAATGCGACCCATGCAGCCTATTGGCAGGGAGCCTGACAACAAAAAGCATGTTTAAAATACCAAGTAGGTGGGGAGGGGGAGGGGGGTGCTATATTATTTGGCACATATGCTACCATCTACCTGCGCAGAGGGAATATGCTTTTCCACTTGGCTTCTTATGGATGATCAACTAGTTATCTATACTTGGCTTAATCCCAACAAATTATACAGTAATCTCTTAGCCCAAGGAATAATAGTAGTTACATTGCACCGAACTTAATACTAACAAATTAATTAAATTAGGTTAAAACAATCAACAACTTTTAAATGTTCTCAATAGAGTCTGAAATTTGTGTAGAAAAGTCTACGAATCATATAGTTTATACCATGAGGTTAAATCCAATTTGAACACACTTGAGACTAGGAAGGGATAAAGCTCATACCACATAAGAATTGAATCATGAAAGTATTTGAGAATTTAGTCTGTTTCTGTAAATTAGCAAGGAGGCTTTGCTATAAATACAGAGGAGAAAGTGGTGGTCATTAAAATTTTATGAAGCTGATTATTTTAAACAGCTTGGAATGATAAAATCACTCACTTGAGGCTGTGAACATCATGTAAATGTTATAGTAACAGTTTTTTCATCAAAAAAATGACTAGATTTTTTTTTCTTTTCTAACACTAGTTACTCTTATAGTAATCAGCCCATTAAAGAAAATCTAAGAGCATCTGTTGTATTGAACAAATGTTTATTATGGCTATTAGAGATTCAGTCATTATATACTAAATATTCTAGTAACAAAATGTTGTATTAGAATAAATGAACATGGTCATTTGGCAATGCTAGATAAAACTAGCCAGGTGTTATTTTAATGTTTCTCTGAGAGGAGATGGTAACTTGATACATTTTACAAGAACTGACACAAATGAAAACTATATTTTTCTTCTATTCTCTCACCACCTTTCATTCTGTTATTTTCATAGCAATAATGATAACTACTGCCATTATTATTTCTGTGTCCTGACTTCAGGAAAAGAAGGGAAAATCCCTTTTTGCTTAGATGCTCAAAGACAAAAATTACTTAACTTAGAGGACAGTGTGGATCATCAGAAAACATGATGCTGTGATCTTGTAAGGTGTGAGCACATGAAAACATGAAGTGTGTGTGTGTGTATGTGTGTGTCTCCCTCACTCAATCATACACTCACATAGATCCTTCTGGCCTCTGTTCCAGGACTTTCTCTTAAAAGGACTCTGTCCCTGATCAATCAAATCTCCAGCCATGTGGTCTAAATCCACTTCTGTGAACAAGGGCTGCCTGGCTTGCCTACTGAATTCTTTGGGTTTTCCCAATTGCTATATCATGTATTCTCCATCGGCCCAACTCACTTCACGTACCCTGTTTTTCACTGTCTCTTTCTCCAGAGCACTAGCAGACTGCCGCAATTCAAAAATGTCTGACATGCCCTAGCTGGTTTGGCTCAGTGGATTGAGCATCCACCTGTGGATTAAAGGGCCCCAGGTTTGATTCCACGTGCTCCATCCCAAGTAGGGGGCGTGCAGGAGGCAGGCAGTCAATGATTCCCTTTCCATCATTGATGTTTCTATCTCTCTCTCCCTCTCCTCTTCCTCTCTGAAATTAATAAAAATATATTTTTTAAAAATGTCTGGCATGAACATGATCAATTGAAGAACATGATTTACTTAATGATGTTTAAGAACATAGAATCTACTTTTTATGGGAAAAATACATTTTACTGCTATTAGGTCTGTATGTGAATCTGGGATTTAAAAGTCTTAGACTTCATTGAGTTTTTCTCATTTTTAGAAGAGGATTGACTGACTTTTTCCAAAAAGCTACATTGAGCTCTAAATCTTGGGCCTTTAAATGATATTATATCCATGTTATGGTTTCTGAACCAAAGATGTTCTTTTTTCTGTTAACCTCTTGAGGTCACAGTGGTGGTTTGAAGTCTAAGCAACAATTCTGTTCAAAGAGTAAGTCACAGCAGGATGCGTGCAGTAAGGGAATTTGCGATTCCGGCCTTCACATATACCCCACTTTACTTTTTAGAAAATTTGTTTCTGAGGCTACTACAAAGGCAACACCCTTAAAACACGTCATTTTCTATATCTCCCTGTACCAAAAGCCTTATATAATGACATTTGGAGATGTATTACTAGAATTTTCATTGCACAGATGCCATTTGAAAAATACCCAGTGGAGATGTCTCATTTGCTCTAGGCTCTAGAGTGCTTTTCACTCATCCTTGAGAAGGGGTTCAAGGTTACCCTCCAGCGTGAGCGGGAACATGATCCTTTCCCTTCCACTTGGGCCTTTGTCTGAGTGGTGGGGAAAATATGAATAGAGTTTTGTTGAGTGGCATTAAGGGCATGGACTCAGGGTCCTGAATGGCTATAGTTGAATCCTGACTCTGCCGCTTACTAGCTGTATGAATCAGGGCCACTTCCGGAAGCTCTTTGCTCTTCAGTTTCTTTTGGAATGCCATCATGTGTGTATTGTGAACATTAAATAAGTTAATGTACATGAAGAACAGTGTCTAGTACATCATACGTGCTATGTATGTGTAACTATTACTACTATCATCCAAATATGTGTCTATCTTTAATAGAATATCACAAATATTGGATGACAAATGTATTGACATATCTGATTGGTTTCTTAAAAAGCTATGACAGGAAGCCAGCCAATGAGTCTGCTTACCTGAATGTGTTCTGCAGAAATTTAGAGAAAGATGGCAATAGTAAAGCCATGTAATGAGCCTTAAAGACGTTGAAATCCTTAAGGTCCCTGAACATGGCTATAAGGCAGCGGTTCTCAACCTGTGGGTCGCGACCCCTTTGGTGGTTGAACGACCCTTTCACAGGGGTCGCCTCAGACCATCCTGCATATCAGATATTTACATTACGATTCATAACAGTAGCAACATTATAGTTATGAAGTAGCAACGAAAATAATTTTATGGTTGGGGTCACAACATGAGGAACTGTATTTAAAGGGCCAGAAGGTAGAGAACCACTGCAAGGGAAAAAAAAAAAAAAAAAAAAAAGCTATGACAAGAATATTTGCAATTGGAAAAGGAAAGAAATACTTGTTTTGTTTATTAAAATTGCATTTACTGCTGATGTACCAATTCATCAATAATATTTACATAAACCATGGGTTTAAAAAGCTTAAGATTTTCAGTTTAACTGAATTTTATTATTTTAACAAACATGTATTGTATTCACTGTGTAAAAGACAACTGCTGTTGTGGAGGCATACCGAGATGACTCAGATAGAAATTGTTGTCAAGTAACTTACAGAAGAGTAGGAGGGTATGATGTATAAAAGCAAACATATAAGGGGAAAATTATAAAAAGTTTTCTACCCTGGATTTGCACAGAAGAGAATGAGAGAAGAGCGAGCGAGTGAGAGAGAAAGAGAGAGAGAGAATGAATTAATTTTGATGGAGGAGCTGGATTTCTTGGAGAAAATAGTATTTAACATAATCCATGGAGGCTGAGTATGACTTAGACATATAAAGAAGTGAAAAAAAGAAAATAATTTTGGTCACTGGGAAATGTACTTGTATAGTGGTTGGAAATCTGAATCTCAAGGAATTCTTTACTCTAACCTGTCCTAAAGCAAGTTGTGTTTACTGACACTTGTGTTCACATAAAAAAAATCACATGTTACTGCCAAGCATACTTGTTTATTTAAATTACCTCTAATGACAAGAAGAAACTGTGGTTGTTGTTTTTTCTTATTCTTAATCTCTCTTACTTTTGAAAAAAAATGAAACTTCCCTCAGAAAAATATTGACTGATTACTAGATAAATTAGTTCCCTAAATAAGTAAAATGACAATAAAAATTGTGATCAAAAGGTTCAGAAAGGTATTTGATATTGTTTAATATACTGTTTAAGGTATTAACATTGCTTTTTCTTTCTATATTTGCTCATCCTTTGGATGCACAAAAGTATTTGAAATGGAAAAAAAAAAACTACTAAAAAGGGGTACTTTTGAAAATGTTTTATTGCTATGGACCCACAGATTATGTGACAATCTGTTATATACTTAATTTGACTTCTGAGAAAATAATTGATGATGACAATAGTAATGATGATTATAACTATTTATATAGTTACTAGAGGCCTGGTGCACAAAAATTTGTGCACTTGGGGGGTCCCTCAGCCCAGCCTGTGCCCTCTTGCAGTCTGGGACCCCTCAGAGGATGTCCACCTCTGGATTAGGCCCACTCCTTAGGGGATCAGGCCCAAGCTGGCAGTCAGACATTCCTCTGGCAGCCAAGCAGCCCCGGGGGATGTCCACTTACTGTCAGGGAGCAGACCTAAGCTGCAGTTGGACATCCTTAGTGCTGCTGAGGAGGCAGGAGAGGCTCCCACCACCACCGCTGTGCTGGCAGCCATCAGCCTTGCTTGTGGCTGAACAGAGCTCCCCCTGTGGAAGCGCACTGACCACCAGGGGACAGCTCCTGCATTGAGCATCTGCCCCCTGGTGGTCAGTGTGTGTCATAGTGACCAGTCATTCCCAGTTGTTCTGCTGTTAGGGTCAATTTGCATATTACCCTTTTATTATATAGGATTATTATATGCCGGGCTCTGTTTCAAATGCTTTAAATGTATTGATCCATTTTATCATCCTAAAACTTGGGTTATGCCCAATTTATAGATGAAGAAACTGAAGATTTTGTAATGTTACCAGTGGAACAGAGATTCTAACTGAGGTGGTCTACTATACTTGGTGTTTTTGTCTATGTTTTGCTGCCAGATTTTATAGATATGAACTCTGTAAACATCATCTTTGACCTCAATGCCTATGGTCTGTTTACACAAAATTTTAAGCGTAAAAAAAGAAGAAATCTGACACACACAAAAAATTGTCAAAGCCTAGAAGTGCTCTACCTTGTAAAGAAAATGTTGAAAAGTCTTATGCAAAGTTTGCATTTGTCCTCTCAATGCAGTTGCATTTTGGTGAATCATTCAAGCCACAAATATTCAGCTCTGAACGAGATGTAACACCTCCATTGAGTCAGAACATTACTAAGAACATCAAGCAAACAGTTGTTACTCTCCATCCAACTAAATGTTGTTCAAAGCTCTGCTCTCTGACTTCTCCTATCAAAATGGGATGCAGAAAGAAACTGGAAGAAGCTGCCAACGTCCTTCTACTTGTCATTTTTGGATAGGCAACTTTAACCCATTTTCTTCTATACCATGTGCAAACCTTAAATCGCAATCATGTCTTTTTAAAAAGAAATTCAGGACATTCTTTTTCTGACCAGATGCATATCTCTGAGCAGAACAATGATTAATCCACTCATAGCCAATGAAAGCTGGCAGGGGGGCAATAAACAGTAACTAAATTCGAATGTATTATAAGAGCAAGAAGTAAATGAAAACGTTTCAGCTATTCCATGTCATAACTTTTATTTTCTGAAGATGTACTTAGTATTCTGCCTTGAATGCCTGGCTGTAAATTATTTTTAATTTTGAGACAATTTAAAGAACCCATACTTTTAGAGAGTTCACTACTTGAGAACCTCTAATATGAGTGAGGCTTTAAACTCCCATAGCTGACCCTTTGTAGATCCGAATCAGGTTCTGGTACATGGGTTTTTAGAGAAATGCATTAACTCAAGGGTCAGACGTCCCCTGGCCATATATCTAAAAGTTCTAGGAAATGAAAAGTTCAAGCCCAATTCAAACTTAAATTATTTAAACATTAAGTAATTAAATATGCAACCTGAATGTGAAATAGAAAGGTAGTTCATCCACACTGCTTTTTAAAAATAAAATTCGATTTCTGAATAGAAATATACTTTCTTTTTCTATGCTTTGGAAGAAGCATTACAGCAAATGGGTCTGATAAATCACAACTTTCTTTAATGTGTTCATTTTCCTGTTATTTTTTATATTTTGATACAAATTTATTTATTCTGATCTATATATTTTAAAAGTATTGTCTCAGAGGGCTCTTAGGTCTTCATTCCTAAGAACTCAATGTCTATTTTTCTTCCACATAACCATAGGCACTTTGTTAAAAAATATGTACCAAATATTAAAAGATAGACTGTCCTGGAATAATTTCATATCACACTAGATTGCAAACAAACGAGGCCTTGTACCAAGGTACATTGGTAATTTCTGGATATAACTGACATTAAAAGGAAAGCATTTATTGAAAAGGCAGACCCATTGAATTCTCAAGGCTGGGTATGCAGCCTGCTTCAGGGTTAATGGCACTTGTGTGTTCATAGTGTCGGAGAAAGAGACTTCTGTTCATTTGTTGCTTTCAATATGGAATACCTTATACCAATAAAAAGTTTTAATGTTTTTATTATGCCTACTTTGACATAACTCTTTAAATGGACTCTCGTTTTAATCTAAAGCATAGAGTTACTTTCTGAAAAAAGTGAAGACAATTTTCATGTAAAAACTCTATGTTGGTAAATTTAACACTAAAATAAGAACCACTAAAATAGAGGAGATTTTGCTTTTTGATTGCAGTGATTTTGTGTTTGCCTTCCAGAAAGGAAAGCAACAGGGATGAACAATAATGTTTAATTTTGTAGGCTGCCAAAGCATTCATATATTTTCATTGTTTATACTTTACAAAAATGCATGTGCACAGAGAGTGACTTATTAAATGATATTTTGCCCCTATCTTTACTTAGATTTGGAATATTTAAGTAACACATCTTTAGATAGTTTTAGCTCCTACTAATGTTCAAAAGAAATAAGTGCTTAATAAATATATATGCAACACATAAAGCCATATGGAGCTTAAAATAGTCATGTTATATATCTTGAAAATAAAGCAGATGAAATGAGAGGTATTAGAGCCTTCCCAATGGGAACAACTTTGCTAGTTTATTACTTGTCTCAAGTTTACATTTGTAAGATTCTTACTTTATTAATTCATACATACTGTCTTATTCCAAAGAGGTTACATTTGTTTTTATTGTCAGTTTCTGTGTTATCAGTATTTTCTCAAAAAAAAAAATATACTGGATTTCTGTGAAAGGAAAAACAGTACCTAATTTAATATTATGAAATAGGTTTTTTAAAGCAATTCATTCAAAAGTGTGACCTAACGACACTTTTTCCATTGCTTTTCTGGAGAGAGTAGAAGGGAAAGAGGGAGGGAGAAAGACACATCAATTGGTTTCCTCCCGCATGTGCTCCAACCAGGGTTTGGGGATCAAACCTGCAACCCAGGTACGTGCCCTTGACTGGGAATTGAACTCATGGCTCTTCAGTGTGCTAGGTCAATGCTCCAGCCCCTGAGCACATTGGCCAGGGCAAAAGCAATTCATTCTTGAGTGTCCTACAAGGTATATAGATACTATTGTCACCGATGTTTCATGAAAAGTAGCTATGTTTCTTTACTTCTTTTCTTATATGCGATATCATAAATATAATATTTGAAATAATATTTAAATATTATACAATTAATATATCTAAATTTCACATTTGAAAATTTCAAATTATTTAGAAAACCCATCAATACTAATACAACACAGTAAAAGTTGGCATTATAAAAGTTTTCAATATGTATCATAATGCTTTTGGTACAGCAGTATTAAAATTTGTCTTATAGACAACCATTATAACTTTTCCACAATTGCACATTAATTAGGTTTTAATTCAACCTAAAAGGCTATATGGTTAAGAGTTCTTTTAGAGTTTGCAAGGACAATTGTTAACTGACATTGTTAGGGATAAAGAGAGTTATTTTGCTATAAAATATCCTTAATATTAACTATATAAAATATGGAATATTTAGCATGAGAAAAGATTGGT